TTGTCAATAAGCTTTCAGAATTTTTATTTTCATTCTGTTACCGTTTCTGCACTGAGTGTAGATACAAAAATTTAATTTATTATAAAGCATTGCTCTTTCATTTTAAAACTGTAGTATTAATTTTAAAACTTGCTGAATAACTCTTGATTTTACTATAATGCTAATACTAACTTAAACATTTTATTACCCTTGATATTGTATATTGAAGAATTCATGCACTGAATTCGAATTTAAATAAGCATGAATGTCGATATAAATATAAATAAACTTGAAAAGTGACCAGTCAGCAGGGGATGCTTGCTCCTCCATGGCACCAGATCCCACCTCTGATGTTTTGGAGGTCCATGTCTGCTCTTCTCCAATTTTGTATTATTTAATTTATTTATGATTTTAAAAACTGTTCGTTTTCTCCATATAGGTATTTCATTTCAAGTAATGTCAAAAAATCAATAAATTTGGAGAAAATGTGTGCCTTACCGAATATGGCCTCTTCAAAGGTTTTCGAATCACGTGATATCTGTCCAACGCCATTGCTACCAAGATATTGGTACTGGTCATCATTGAAAAACTTTGTACAAATTTCACGAACTTGCAGAGAAAATTACCAGCCAGCCATTCCTTTTGATTTTGATATTCCCAAATCAATTGTGGAAGCACGGCTCCAAACATAACGAAAAGGTCTGCAAAAGTAAGCTGGAGAAACAAACATTTGATCCGGGATAAACTTGTGATGGGGTATCTGAAATTTCCAATCAATATCCATACACACACAATAACTCCACCTATTACCCCAATTACAAATGTGAGATAGAGGGTCACTAACCGTATCTGCTTGTTATAGGTTTTGTCATGCACTGATATATTTCCACAAGTTGAAACGTCTTGATGGAAAGACATGCTGAAATTGACATTTGTACCATTTTCCATTGCAAAGATAGAACAGAATAAAGCTTAGCATAGGTTGTTTCAATCGCAAATATTGTTGTGATATATAAATTTCACTATTTTGGCCTTGGTTGCACTGAGCTTATGTTGAATGTACAAAAACATGTTGGACAGGCAGCATATTTCCTTCGTAAATAAGTTCCGCCTCTTGGCGGGGCGTATTAATTAATATTTTGTGACGGATGATTGAACGACCCTTTTTTCTATACTTATATCGTTTCAAACAAATCAACTTGATTGCTGGTTGGACTTACTGAATATGGACACGGGAAAGGAAGAATAAGCCATTTGAACAGAACGAACAGTTCATCTAAAATAACGATAAAATTCGTTTATGACCCGAAACACATTACCAACTATCTTAACTCTTCAAGAAATATAAACATTTCAAAAATAAATCTAAAGTGTCCGAATTAGGAGCGAATTGAAAAAGTAAAGCCGACAGATATGAATGCAAAACATACCATCATAACGCAATAAAAAACGCCAGAGAAACCTTCCACTTACGCGAGAAAATTCGGTTCATTTATACTAAACTCTCCGGTTAAACCTCAAAATATATGTATTTCATTTCAATCTTATGCTTAATGCCCTAATGCATAGAGGATTTCACTTCTTTAAAGTGTATTGCATTATGTAGGAAATGATCTAAAAAAATTCGTAATCTTTCTCAATTTACATTCTTCCATGCTTTCTTTCTCACAATTACCAACTTTGAATAAAAACGATACACTTAGTTTGAAATCTAGCACGTAACTGCAACGTATGAAATTTTCTTCTTTTCTGCTTCTTAAAAATACTACAGAACAAAGAGACAAATTTTTGTAGTGAATAAAAGATTATGGACAAATTTTCTACTATTATATTGATATCTTTGAAAGATTCCAACCTAAGAAATGATTTGAGGAAAAATCATTCACAAGGGATTTTTCTCTTTTACTAATCAATTAAAACTTTTTAGTATATCATATGCATTATCTTATTTAAAGTACAATTTTATCATGTCTATAAAAAGCGGAAAAGTTATAATACCGGTATGTACGATTCAAATAAAAATTAAAATCCTAAAATATAAGAAAAATATAGGAATTTCAGATTACCGGTAGCAAGTATATATTTTTTTGGATAAATTATTTATTTTCAGTCGATAGACCCTATTTGATGTCTTTTTTATGCAAAATACAAACATTTTATCTTTTGAAATAAAAGGAAGCAATATTTACCTGATTAGCAACAGTAATTGTTATGCTTAACATCAAGGATAAAAAAGATAATGACCTTGAATTGACCCTGCTCCTTAAAAAAGAGACATTTTTAATGTACATTACACCTTCACTTTATGATGTTGTTTTCTAACTTGTCTTGAATCTGTAAAAACAATTCATTAATTTATTAATATTAGAATTTCTCCTTATCTCAAGTTTCGCCAATAATTTGAAGATTTCAATCAACATGCGGAATTCCACTGGTTTAAATTCTCCTGAAATTTTCTTTTAATATTACATTTTTAATCATTCAGTTCATTTAAAACTTACAAAATCTTAATTGAGATATGTCTGTTTTAAACATTACGTCTACAGCTTTGTTTTAATTGTACAGTAATGTTTTCATACTATTTCGCATTCACTTGGGTGGAAGATATCATTTCAAGAACCTCAAAGCAAACCAATGTCTCTCGTCGTTAAAATTGATAAATTTAAGGGTTTTCTTTTTTACAATATCGAATCAATTCAATAAATTTTACATAAAAATACAGGTTATCTATATTCGCATTATAATTTAGTAATATGGCACAAAAGTATATACATGTAAAAAAAATACCTTTGTTACATTTAATATCTATAATTTTGATATTACAATATCTGATTGGTTTACTTTACTCGTCTGCGTTGTAATTATATACAAGTATATCCATTTTTTGAACTTTTGTTCTGCAAAGAAAGTATTTTGCATTGCATTTCAGATTTTTCGCCTGTTTTGCAAATTATCAAACATTTTTAAGTATTGTTGGTGCCCTGACATACCAACAAGCAAAACAGCAATTCCATATACCACTAGTACTTACACTAATATATATGTACCGGCATATGGAAAAGTGAAAACGTATTTAAAATATCTAATCCTTATCTTTTCTGATAGATTTAAAATACACGAAACATCCCATTTTACATTCCATAGTCCACAACTGCTGACGTTAGATGTCAAATATAAGACAGTCGTCGTCAATAGAAAGTGACATGCAAATTAGGTACTCGACCATTCAATTTGAGAATTCACATTCAGTATTTCTCATCGAGAAATCAATTCACTTAACTTTCAAAGAGTTATATGGAGTGTAAATATTCTTAAAATTATTCTTGATTGTTAAATATTAACGACTATTAATTGTGAAATAATATACATGTACTTTCAGTTTGCTTTTTTCATTGTCCATAATCGAACATCTGTCTGCATCTGCAAAAACAAAATGCAAAATAACAATAACACTTATTTCAGTAGAATTTCTACCAACAAAACAATACTACCTAAATCCCCCCTTCCTCTCTCTCTTCCTCTGTTATTTAAGAGTAGTCTGTTTTTCGTACGATGGGTTCCTGAGCATTCATCCGATACTAAAAAGAAGAACACACAAGAAAGAAACTTACAGCTGTAATCGTTTACACGGCAAACAACTTAAACAGCTCTATATTTATAACTTATATATTTCTAGGATTCACAGTAACTGCACGGAAAGGAAATTAACCTCATCTTAGAAAATATACAATGGTAGATTTCAGTCAAGCAACTTATTTTCATCCTGATACAAGAAAGAAATATTGTCGTTAACATGAGATATTTTCTTACGATTGTATTCAAAATTGATCACGATTTACTTGGTTTCAATTCGATGCAGGGAAAAACATATTTCCAACCAAACGAAGCTTGCAATTACTATGGAAGTTATCTATTCTTTTAAATTTCACAGACATAAATCTTAAACGGAAAAATTATAGTGTTCATAACTTTGTTTTTATTAAGATTCTAAAATGTGTGTTTTGTAATTTTTGGACCAAGATGGCATGGTAAAAAAGAAAAATAATTATAGTATAAAACTGTTCTAAAACTTTTCGTCTTTCAAATATGTATTTATATTTTAAATTGATTTGCAATTGACAAAAATTGAAGAAAAAAAAATACATTCTGAATTTATTAATATTGATATTTCTGCTTGTGATAACCCTTGAAAATTAAGTGTGACGATTACTCGATACTTACAACTGAATTTAAATTTCTTCCAGTGAAAGGTTGAGCGCCTACTTTGCATATAAATCTCTCACGACTGTCATTGTGTCTGAAGTCAGTGGGCGAGGACTAAGGAATATACAAAGAATGTCTCATGTTTTTATATTTATATTTTTGTCTTCATAAAAATGAAAATATAAGGAATGACTGTCTTGTTTGTTGGATATGATAGAGACATCAAAGATAGCTGAATAGGTGGCTCTGCTCGTTATGCAAATTATCCCATGTCTCCAAATATCTTTAACACCCGAACATATATCCATCAAACAAGACAGTGATTTCTTAAACATCCATGGATATTTTCCTATTCACCTATTGTCATTATCAATAAATTAACAACAGACTACTTTGAAATGGGTTTTTAGCCATCTGTTTCTTTTATCAGTGGGCTGTACCAACGATGTACGGACGGACAAATAGCACAACATTTTACATATATACCTTGTCTACTCTGTACGAATAAGAATTAACTATTAAACATTATATTATGAAACAAAAATGTGATCAAACATTGTAATCATAACAGATAATTTACATTGATTGTTTAAACGTGTTGTGTTTAATTTTCCCCTGCAAGTTTACAACCATTATCATTTTCCCTAATCAGTCCCCCCCAAAATAAATATTTTTTTATTGATGACCATGAGTGAACAATTAAGTTATAATTGAATGTTGAAATAAAATAGAATTATTGTTTTTAGCTTGATATATATTTTTCGCTTCAAACTGGTCATATCTATTACCAAAACTTTGCCATTACGACAAGTGTTGGAATTTGGATAATATTTGTTAACTTCTTACTTTTTTAAGAGAGTTCCTGACATTAAATTAATTCAAAGACTCTATTTAAATAGATTATGACTAAATAAGTCTACAAAGTACAGACAGACGGACGGACAGACACCCCAATTCATGGTTAAGGTTGAAGGAATCTTTCCAGATTGCTGCTGAACTTACGTTGATGGAAGAGTTATATCTCTTTTTGTAAATGGTGCCAACACAATGTTTATTACAAGTTGCTCATGTTTGCTATAAAGCAAAACCAAATATGTACTTTAAATATTTATAAATATATTAAAAAACAAACGTCACAAGCTCAAATTAGCTAACAAAAATTATTGTTCTCAGATTTTACTTCAGTGGAACTGTCATATCCATGTTTATATTGAGTAATGTTGTACAAATTTTAGTACACAACAAATGCACCCAAGTTATTTCATCGATTGTGTGCTTAAGATTATGTTGTTGTGCTGCAGTGTGAATTATTGAAGCTATCTTGAATTATTCAAATTTAATAACATTAATATTGACCGAATTGAATTACCAATATAAATAACTTTTATCTTCTTTTACGAACTTTGATTGAAAGTAAGAGTTTATATTGACTAATTCATGATATTTAAGACATGTATGTATGCTTTACTTAACTTGTCTATGTTAAACAATAAATGCACTCTTTGTTGTATTACACAGGATATACCAGTTGTACATTTGCAGAAAAAATACACAACCCGTGTTAGAGGCATTGCAACTGTTATACGTCGTATATAACACAAGAAAGAGACACATACTGATGTTAGTTATGCAATTTTAAATTAATCATGTAAAGTGGAAAACCATGCTCAAGTGTAAATGTGTTCCGTATTAATATTTAAAAAAAAAATAAATTTCAACAATATGAACTAGATATTAATGATCTGGAAATAGGCAGTATAACAACATTTTTCTTTCATTATAAATGTTTACTCTCTTGTCTGTTTCAAAAATGATTTTATGTATTCCTAATTTATTTCTGACAATTTTCACTAGTATCACAGATAAAGAAAAATGTGTACTAAAAACTAAGAAAATTTATCAATAATAGATAAGACGTCATTGTTATCTCTAAATGAATTTTAATTTGTATCACAAGAGAACGTTGAATCTTGGCTATCAAGGTATTTGGTTAATGTTTTAAATCGGTAATGACGGTTGCCTCTCCATTGCTAATTTATCATTTGTGGATTTCATATCCTAGTTCTATTGTCGCAGAAACATATTACAATATTTTGTTTGTCATTTTCAGTCTTCTTTTTATATAGCTGAACAAAAGTGTTACATCTCAAAGCATCAGTCGAAACAAAATAACAGACATTTACAATTTAAAACAAGTTTATTAAAATACTTATTTACAGTATATACAGAAACCCTCAATTTTATCACACATGATGAATTGTCAAAAATGATTAACACATGATAAATATGAAATGTCAACGTCCGCTCGTTTTCTTGATGAAATTTGCTAACAGCTAGATGAAATCATCTGACATATTAGAACTAGAACAATTAAAAATAAACATTCAAAAATATGGAACATCGCATCTGCTTCTGATGAACTATTTGAGGAATCTGAAATAAACAAGTATTTATTAATTAAAGCCAAGCAGGAGTCAATCCATAACTGCAAATTTATATAAATTTTCATTATATACAGACGAAAAATTAAGATTACGAACAGTTAGTGATTTACAAAAAATCAATTAACAAAGCAAATCTATAGAGAGGGCGTAAAACACGGACCCCTGAAAATTCCAGAGGTGGGATCAGGTGCCTAGGAGGAGTAAACATCCCCTGTTGCCGGGTCACAAATATACCGCATTTAGCCCTATGTATAATTCATAGATACGGTACATTCTGTCGTGAAATTCAGCATAAAAACAAGGGCTTAATAACTAATATGAAGCAAGTCTCATTTCTCAAGCTATGTAACTGACAAGTTCATTAAAGCGACAATAAAATTAACGAAATGCCATCACATGACAATGGTAAAAAATGTACAGTATATTTAAATTTGAACACCAACCGTGTACTATTCCATATGGTTTTGAATTTGGGGATTTAACAAGGATCTGTTCTCCAGGAGAAGGCGCTGACTTCTGATGACTGGTGGAACTCGAGCTAAAGTCGAATATTATCGTCTTTGAATCACTTTTGTCATCTTTGGCTGCCTTTGGTGAAACTTGAATACCATTTATTGCTAGCAAAAAAAAAAAAAAAAAAAAAAAAAAAAAAAGAGACTAAATTAAAAAAGAAGCGCTGATATTCTTTTAAAAATATATTTGATTGAAAGAAATGAGGAATGTTTATACTAGTAGCAGTGATATATTTCTTTATATATATTTCTCGAAAAAGATTTCTTTTTTCGTAGACTGGCAATATTTTGAAGGAAGAAAGCATTGTTGGGATAAGGATAATATATTTAGTAAGAAAAAATTAGATTGTTTTGAGAAAGCCATATTTTCTTAATGCCTTTATGTAACAATGATATTTTTTAAAAATACATTTCATATGTTTCTCTCAAAATGAATGTCATTTAAATGATTTTGCAGTTCATATGAACACTCTGAATTTCTATAACTTTAAAAAAAAAACACATGACATTTTGGCATTTAAAATTAAAGTCTACTGCATGTTAACAAATAAAGATATTTTAAGAATTATATCCTTCTTTGTGGCAATGAAATATCTATAAAGAAAGTTGTTTCATGTTCCTCTCACTTTTCATCAATATTTCTGTCCGGACAAGTTATGATGCCATAATTTCAACAGGCACAATGATAAGATCTTAGAGTCTCTAAATAGAAGTTCAGACAAATAAAAATCCACAGAGGAAATGAATGAAAAAGTAACATTCCTTCTATTTTTAGCTTTAAAACTTACGAAAGAGTTGCATTCTTTCTAGATCTCTTCCGAGAATATTACTGGCTTCGCAAACGTACTCTCCAAAATCATTCCACGTTAGATTCTGGATTCGGAGAAGAAGAATAGTGGTGTAAATATCCTTTTCATAAATCTCTGACGTTATTCTGTGGAAGCTGTTGGCTGTGAAAACGTCTTCTCCCTTTCTCCAGTTTACTATAGCTTGAGGCGATGCTGATATTTCACACTGTAATATAGTTTCCTTCCCAAGGTCTTGCTTTTGTTTTTTATTCAATACTTGCACTTCTGGTTGAACTGGAAAAAGAAATGATGATTCTAAAATTTAAAGTAATATTGATTTCAGTACATCTAAGAACGCTTTCCCTTGTTTTTGTAATAAAGCACTTCATTTCCTATCATAAATTGCATTAAGTATTTATTATAAATTATATTTTGTACTTTTCATAACTATCGCAAATTTAAATGTAAACACATGTATACGTTTGACTCGTCATAGCAAGCATCGCACTGCCTTTAATTTGTGATACCGAAATATCCAGTTGTATACAATGTAGTTATATTTCACTTTCCTTGAAATTTCTTTTTTTTCAGAAAAAAATATGGGTACCGTGATTATCAAAATTAGATCATAGACGAATCAACCTGTAACACCCTTAACCCTAGTCCTGACAAACTCTTAAGAAATAAGAGAGAATACTATAGTATAAAAAAATCGTGATTATTTCCTTAAATGTAAAAAATACATACAATGTACGTTGACAGAAAACACTTTAGAGACTGCTGGTCCTATTCCGTTAAACGCTTCGCATTCATACGCCCCACTGCAGTAACGTGTGATGTTGTGTATCATTAAGAATGCACCTTGTTGACTTATTGCTGAAAAAAGTTAAAAATTATAATTTATCGGAGCATTTTATTGTAATACAAGTTTCAAGTTTCTTTATTTCTTTAAGCCAACTGGCTCATCAGAGAAGTTATGCATACATGGTCATAATAAAAAAAATATACAGAGAGAGTGAACGTTAAAAACACATACATGAAAAAACTACTAGGCCCCTATACATCAATTTTATTTTGTCTTAACATTGTTGCAGCATTCAAAAATTTGCCCAAAATTAAGGTCAAGATCTAGTAAATGAAAGGTGCCTACAGATTTATCAAACCTGAGAAATAAAATCCTTTATTGATGCTTTACAACTTTAGTTTGGTCAAATAAGGTGTTTCGGGGCATAATTTATAGGTAACAAGATGAAAAACTGTATTTTAAACTGTCATTTTCAATGAAAAATTAAGAAAACTAGTCATGAATATGGGAGTTTTTTTCGTATTCGGCAAAGGAAATGTATCCAGATTGCCTACAGTCTCTCAGAAAACGGAAATTAGTATGTTCATGGCCTCTTCTTTAAATCAATATAAAATCTAATGTAGGTATCCGGTTTACTTTTCATATGATTTCAAATTGAATGACATGAAAATACCCTATGTTCTACATAATTCTGCTAAAGCCGTAAAGTACGGGAAAAAGAAAGTTGAAATTGATTATGACGTCATAATGGATCTAGCACCCAAAAATTTGTCTCTCAAGTTATTTACTAGATCTTGACCTTAAGAGATCTTTACTATTATTGGGACTTAACAGCTGAATTAATTATAAGACATTTGGCTTAGTATAATAATACTTTTTCAAAGATTCTTTTCTTATATCAATATACAATGGGCATTTCAAAATAAAATGAAATTCGTCTTCTACATCATGGAGATTACATCATATACATAATCTATTAAGCTTAGGTATGTTATGGTGTCGACCTGTTTTAATATTCAACGTGTGATTCGATAACCTAAATTTTATTAATAGTAATGCATTTTTGACACGTATTTGAAACTCATTACTATTGAAAGCCAAGTTACCAAAGAGGGTTTTTGTCGAGAGAGAAAGAGTTCATTAAATATTGAAAATCTCATTGGTAATGAGCCAGAGTTTCAATACAATTGCACTATGATTTATTACTATATGATTTTTAAAAACATTTTGATGAACATTTTTATTCTATAAACGTGACTTTCTTCAGAAAGACGATAAAAAGGGTTAAGTAAAAACAATTTGCTCATCTTAAAGCATAACCCTAAAGCAAAGGGATTTGTGAAGAACATAAGAAAAAAAATATCAGTTTAATTTATTTTAATTCGAAAACCACTTCTTTTCAAAACATATTCTTAGCAATTATTCATCGTATTGTTTTGTTTTTTTTTTGGAAAAAAGTTTATTAACAAGATGTTCGATAGAGTTATTCGCCTTGTTACACTGAACTTTGATTTATAATGTAAAGAAAGGGAGAGAAAGAGAGATGTACCTTCTTTCTCTGAGATAGATTTTCTATACCACGTGATTGTTGGTTCTGGATACCCAGTGGCATTACAAGTGAGGTTAGCGGTTGCTCCTTCCTTTAAAATCTGGTGAGTATTACGTGTTTTTTCATAAATCTGTGGTTCTACTGCAAAAGCCCATACATATATGAAAAAACATAACAAATACGTTCAATATCTACTTTATCTATTAGAAGATGATGTATTTTTATTCCCAATGTCGAAGAAGAGTCAATTATACCATGCTAAATTTTAGTTTATTCGATCTTATTTGCCTTTGATCTTTAAATTTTTTTAACTTTTCTCTTTTTCTTCTTATATCGTTTTTTTATATCGTATTTTTCATTTGTATTTTATACTTAACTTATATACAATATAAATTTTTGAATCACAATGAAATTCAAGTGGTGAGATGAGTTGCCTATTACTCTTCTCTTTATCTTTAATTGATGAGCCTATACCGGTCTTCTTACCATATACTTCTAAATGAATTTTTTTCATGCTCATTGGCTTTGTATTGAGTGAACAGGTGTATGTTCCTCTATCATAAAACTGCAATTCACGTATATGAAGGTTCCAATCTGGCACACGAGGGCGTTCGATTGACATTCGTGTATCGTCTATTATGCGTCTATCACCAATGGCTATAAGGACTTCCCTTGGACTCATCCATGTTATCTGGAATTTTTCATGCATATATTGATCATCTGACATTTTAAAATCTGTAAAATTCATAATACACAAAGCAATAAAAACGAATAAAATGCAGAATCATTTAGTTACCAGTAACACTTGATTTAACCGATGTTTAATCTTTCCAGTATTATTTTTATTATTTAAAAATTTAAAAAAGATTTTGAACTCTTTAATCTTTCAAAAACGATAAATTTAAAGTTAGAATTTTAACAATTCTGCGAATGAATTTACTTTAAATTATTGGAAAAAATAATCAATTAAACAAAAAAAAATAACATAAAAAAATTCTTAAATAAAGAGCAATATTTGTGGCCAAAGGTGAGGATTTTTACCGTAATAATCCATAAAACACCCTTAATAGAATTCAATGGTTTATATTTACATAAGAATGTAACATTAAATAACCCTAAGTAATATAATCTTTAGAGTTTAAAGTAAATTTAAAATAAAATTTATCAGCACTTCAATTCTTTAATTTTGTTACAAGAGCCCTTTTCTTAAAAACGTAATAAAATGCAATGGTTTTTCCTGCTTTTCATGTCTTTGGAAGAGAGTTTTTTATTCTGATGTATAAGTCAAACTCCATTTTGAGGAAATGACCCCTTTAGCTCCGAGGATATTTGAAAAACATGGGATTGTCAGGGATCACTTTCCTAACATTAAAATATAGATTTTCACCAGAAAACATTTGCTTGTCTTTAGAACTAACTCAGAGATACCGAAAATCAGATTCTATCAGCATCTTTAAAAAGTTTATCTCTAATTGTCGTTTTGCTGAGCAGAATACCCATAGTACGTTTTAAAAATCCCATCCCTAAATTTATGTCGTTTTGCTGAACAGACTATCTGAAAAAACTTTTAAAAAGTTCATTCCTAAATGTCGTTTTAAATGAAAAGAATACCCAAAAGAACACTTTTGCAAGCCCATCCTTAAATGTCATTTTGCTGAAAAGAATACCTGAAGAACACTTTAAAAAGACCATTCCTAAATGTCGTTTTACTGATCAGAATACCTAAAGAACATTTTAAAAAGTCCATCCCTACAGTGCAAAATTCTTCTTTCTAAACATACTATCTAAAAGAATCCATTAAAAGTGCATCCCTAAATCTAATATTGCTGAACAGACCTTCCCTTGATATTATCTGCCCATTCCTCTGTTTATAATTGTTACCTCTCTTTTGGAGTCTGCATCCGTAAGGTCGGCAGTACACGGCAAAATGGCTGTTGTTCCAGCTATTCCACTGATGTTTTCTGGTGTTGAATCAAACAGTATAGGAGAAGCATTCGATGCAGAATATCCAAAAGCTGAAAGAATTCATTTCGTTAACTGAATTTTACATAAAATTGAAGACATATTAAAATATTTCTGTACACATCTTTTCTATGGAAACTCATGGAACCTCCAGTCATTAATAAATATTGAAATATTGAAATTCAAATAACTGTTGATCTTGATTTCTTTCCTTTTTTGGCTAAATAATTTGGCCTTTGATCTACAAAGATGTGTTTGCTGAAATGTTTGATAATTTTTAATGTTTTTATATAATTATTATTTCAATTTCATTTTAGGGGAACTTAATTGAAATTAATCCCACAAATCAACCATATACTTAAAGTCATGTAGTAGCGGATTCTACTAAATATTCCATCAAGCTCTTTCAGTACTCTTCACCAAAATATTAAAAGCAATGAAGGAGAAACTTCAGGAGTACTGAACAACAATACAAAAATCAAGAAGGAGTGGTGTTAATCACATATGAATCCTTAAAATCTCAAAGGAACTCTTAGAAAATTTGAAACCACAATTTTAAGAAAGTCAATAGTATTAAAATGAACACATTTTGAACTCTTTATATCACCATTCGTCTCAACAAACTTAAAAACCAGAGTCTTTACTTCACAGAAAACTGCATTAAAAAGGAACTTCTTTATTTGCATACTTTGTCATTGTTAATCTGAAGTGGTGATTTAGATTAGATTTCATGTACCTATTAAAGAAAGACTCTGATGACAAACTGGCCGCTAAAATGATAAAACATACAAAATTGACAGAAAAAAGCTCAAAGTTCTTGAAGGTCGTCTGTATATAAACCAGTAAAATATTATTTTTAAAAAACGATAGTTTACCCATTATCTTATTTGTATACATATGTAGTGATGTGTATTTTTTTATGATCAAACTGATACCTACTTAATTAATTATGTAGGATCTCTCCCAATCAATAGACCAAAACACGATACAAAAAAGTTTGCTGTGGGATTTGGATTAATTGTCCCTATAAATTTTACTAGATTATATTCGTCGTAATGACACATTAAGAGACCAGTATAACTTTACATCAATAAAGAGATTGGGCTTCTCAGTAGAGATTTAGATGAGTTTATGTGTGTGTGTTCTGAAGCCTGAATCAAGCAAAAAGCAAAAGTTCTATACAAAACACATTCATACAAACATGCATATGGGCTCAAACCATAAGTTTGGAAACTAAAGCAAGACGTATTGTTAAAGCTAGTACTCACAACGGTACATTTTTCAAGTCCCTTGTTGAGACAGTTTCTTTGTTATTAAACAGAAAACAAGAAAAGATTTCGACTGTACCTAAGTTTATGATTAGGGACAAGCAAGGCCGGTTAGGTACAGCCCAGAGATAGTAAAAAGAACTATCAAAAGTTTATCAAAGCTTTACACTATTTGGCTTCATTGAAGCAGAGTTTTGTAAAGAGGGCTCAACAGCAGAAAACAAGTCCAAAGACAGTTTACCAGACAAGTTCTGCGGAAGTAAGTTCTCATCGATTTTAAGAGATGTTGCGTACATGTAACTTGGATGAACTTCCTGTGTTGTTAACTTTTATCGAAAGCTTTCTTGTTTATATGGACATACTTGGGACAAATCGAAGTTCCCTCAAGTGTTAAAAAATATTTAAAGAGGTCCTGTTAGCTTATTTGCTTGTTTTATCTTGGCATATGATAATACTGAGGTACAGTATGATGCTGCAGATCATAGGAATTTAGATGTATAAGTCGAATGTCAAAAGTCAGTTTGTATGCTGACTCTTCCATGGCACCTGATCCCACCTCTGATATTTGGAGGTCCATGTTTGCTCTGCTCCTGTTTTGTATTGTTTTGTTATGACGTTTCATCTTGAATACTGTTTGTTATCTCCATTTGTTTCATCTTTCGAAACGTGAAAAAAGACAGATTGTCCCAAAAATATTCAAGATCGAAAGAGAATAAAGATCTAAGCACAGTCGATGTTTGGTAAAATCATATATGCATCAGCCAAAACCCTACAAGTTCAACCCAATATGGGGTTTAGATATACCATTTTTATTCATAACGCCAACGTTCGTAGATCAGCAAAAATTTGGTTGTTCATGAGGACGTAATTTCTTCATAAATTCGAACGATTCTAGAAATTAATAATAACAAAATAATTGTTAGTGGGAATGCTAATTCATGGATTAAGATGACCCAAGAAATTTACAAACATTGGTCTCCCACCAACGATGATGATTTCACAGTAACTGAAGATACACAAACTGTATTTCCCATTAAAGTTTTTGATTTGTTATTTGACAACAGCAGGTTAAGACGAGCAATACAATGCTGTCACACTCAGGTTGGATGAAAGATGACATATATGTGAAACTAACATCATTAACATAATCATAATTGAACATCAAACCAGCTTTATACATAAATATAAACAAGTATTCCACTTGTGTTATTGATGAATGAAAGTAAATTCAAAGATAATCAAATATCTGGAGATAGAAATACCGAGAAGTTAGAATGAAATCCAAGTAACCTTTCCAATTATGGGTAAAATCATTCATACTGATGTTGTAAAACTGACAGGAAATGGTACACAAAAGACTATCGCAAAAGACTGTGAAATTACCATTACAAAACGAGAATAGATGGAGGGTAGTGAACATCATAGAGAATGACGACCTCTTTAACATACAGATGTTATATGACAAAAAAAAAACCAATTCTCAAACTTCTCTTCAAAAACAGTTTGTTTGTCCAACACTTTTAAACAACGAACATTGAAGTAAGGCCTCTTGAACCAGAACTGTAAAATTTTGAGGAAGTAGACAAATCAGAATGGAACTTATATATGTAAATTACAAATTATTCTCCACATACTCTGGAATCATCGTTATTAGTGGGAGACCAATCTTTGTGGATTTCTCTGAGTACCTTTGTCCAGGAATTTACTTCCGCATGAACAACTATTATGTCAATAAATTTATGCATTCAATTGTCTGAATATACGAGTTATCCTCAAAATAATATTCCTACAAATCAACAAAATTTTGCTTACCAACAAACATTGACCCTCACGAATTAAAACGATTGCTAAGTAGACCATAAACAAGGCAATAACTGATATGTAATAAAAGAAAATATATCAGCAAATCTGGCGGCAAGTACAGGAGTTGTTCGCTGAATGTTTAGGAGTTAGGAAGAAATGAATTCCTTGTTCAATATCATCCTCTAAAAAAACTCAAGGAACTCAGTATTAAAAAAAGCATAAAATTGCTAGATTGCACTGCAAGCGAGCATTTCTAGCATATGGTTAACTTTACAAGCATCCAGCCTAGGCGCCATACAACGATCGACCGGTCGGCTGGGGATGCTCACTCCTTCATGGCACCTGATCCCATCTCTGATAATTTGGAGGTCCATGTTAGCTCTGCTCCAATTTTGTATTTCTAATGGACTTTTGAGCTTGAATATTGTTTGTTATCTCCATATATTTCACCGTACTTAAGCCAGAAAATGCTTTCGACTCATTAATTTTCTGACTGTACCATCGCTGAAACAAAGTGAATTAAAAATTCATACTTATTTTAGGATGGCGGGGCCAGGTACCAAGATTAGGAATCAGTTTAAGCTTCAGAATCAGAATTTACCGATTGTTTTAAAGTTTTAATTTAAATACAAAACCACTAACAAGTGAAATGCTATTGATAAATTGATTAATTGAGTTCCAAAATGATGACTTGTGCTTTGGACTCCTTCATGAAGGTACATGTTAGTTCTGAAATTTTCAGTATATTCTGAATTATGTATAAAATGCCTTATGTGTCAATTTTTACACCGTAAAAACAAGATATTTTTGCGTATTTAAACTTTATTCTAAATGTTTAAAAACAAAAACAATTTGTCTTTGAAAATAGTATGCCAGATTACATGGAACACTGCATACCAATGATGGCGGATGTAACAATAGCAGAATCAGCATTAAGAACATAAGCACACGTACCTGACCTACTGATAAATTTTCAAGATATTCCTAAGTTAAGATTATAGTTTCATTAAATGTCTGTAGACAAAAAATTTAGCATGCATTACCTATGGTTTTGAAAGATATCAATTACTAGTAATGTAAATTCTTGTGTAATCCAAAGAAAAATATACAAAAATTACTTAACATATATTCTAGATGTTTTATTTTATCCAAACTTGGTATATAGAAGAAGTTTACAACAGCTTATATGGACAATAAAATGTAGCACACAGTTCCACTAAGTATTGGAAGTCTTCAACTTCCGGAAAAAGACAACAAAGTTCAAACTGCGTTGCGTATGTCCTAAAAACTAAGTTACAAATTTAATATAGAGAACAAGTTCTGGAGAATGTAGCTTTACTAATTATAATGGAAGAAAACGTATTGCTCATGGACTTTAATTATGTTTTGTGTATTATTTTAATATGCAAAATTACGTACATGTATCTTTATGCCTCGTAAATCAAAACCAAGATTTTTCGTATCACAGTTAGATACAGCAGGAAGAATAATTAAATAGATTAAATCTTTTTAAGCTACTATTTTAGCATCATTTATCAAAATTAAAAACCCATCTAAAGAGAATTACTTGACTTTAAACTGCAGAATTGGATAACTTTCTTTTTTACAAGCTTGTTCCATTTTTTGAAATTATGAAATCAAAAATATTTCAAGTGTTAATTTGTTAAAGATTTAGTTTGAATGTCTTGCCTTGATAACTTTGTGATGTGACGGATTAGGTGCAATCCCTGGTTAATGTCGATTTTTATATAAATGTAGAACTGGCGAGGTGTCTTTCAAAGCTTTGGCGCAATTTCTGATTTTCTCATGAATTTTACATTAATTGATGTTTGCCTGGTTCTCATGCAATAATTCAATAAATATGGGTAAAAAATAAATATTTTTCTTCAGATCCGGCAAGTTACATGCTTACCGGTATACTCAGTATACAATGGGTTATAAACATATTGTCTAAATCTTGCCTAACTTACCAAAAAGAAAAGGTATAAGAATTGCTTCCCTTGTCATTACTTGTCCCTCAGGCTATCTGAAATTATAAGAAAATATATCAAATGACATGAATTTAAAAAATAGAGCCAATTTAGATGCAATGTTTATTATGTTTGTTTATAGTAAAGATGCTCGATTTTTTCTTTTACATTTCTTGAAAAATCCCTTTAAAGGAAGGAATCCTATCATTTGAGTAAGAGTGATTTCAGAGAGCTTAAGGGGGCCGACTATAGTTTCCATTGCGCAATACTTCGCGCATCATAGCAAAATAAAGCGTATAATACTGTTTTAATGCACCTTTTTTCACTTGATTAATAAAATTAAACAAAATTAAGAAATTACAGGTTCAAAAATTTAAAAACAATTTTATATAACTGAATTTTTAACAAATTTTGTAGGTTGACGTCGTTTCAGTGTGTTTTTGACGTTATGATAAGCTGAAGCTCTTAAAGAAAGTGGTAATAAAAATGTTACCAAATAAAAAGTATTAAACGTATACGTACGCTCTTGAAATTTAAAACATAGAAATTTGAGAATTTCTCCATTATTCTTATATTTTTTCATATAATACCCTTGTGCCCGTCATATATTGTAGTACTCTATAAAAACAGGAAAATTTGTTAATTTTTGGCTTTTTGAGATGGCCCCTCTGATAACAAGGCGGTAGAATTCTGTGTTTCTTACACATAATGTGCAATATAGTATTACTCATCATATATTATAGTTTAGACAAAAAGTCTATTGTAGTATTTGTATAATTTGCTTTAAAGTGCTAAAATTGACATTTTCCTATATAATCCTATAATAAATGTACCAATATTTTGAGATGGTCCCTTAAAATACCTGGATGGTAGATTTCGCCCAAACTTTGCATGCACACTAAAGTTAATGGATGTTATATATGGTATAAAAATGGAGAGTTTTGCTATTGTAGTTTTCACACAATAAAACCATAGTCGGCCCCCTTAAAACACAAATAAGGACAAAGAGAGGGGTCTTTGCAGACCAGATTTTCGTTGAAATTCTCATGGGAACTGACTGAACTCCTTTGCCTAGGCATTCTTATGAAGAGAATATATTAAAATCTTCTACATGAAATGTACCGGTATCTCTTTGTGGATACAATAAACATTGTGATAAGTCGATACTTTTGACAATAATACGATCATTAAGTATTTTGAAATGCACCTGATACCTCTCACCTCTTCTTTGTTTTAGACAGTCACACATGATTTAGCATATACATTGATGGACAACTGACAACTACTTTTCATGAATAACGTGTTGAGTTTAATTTTTCAATCGTCAACTTCCCGTATTAACATCATGAGTATCACCTCCTTAAGGTCTTTCAGTCTTTCTGTTCATTTGAAAAGATAGATCATGTTCTTTACAAGAGTAATATCTAAACTGAGTGACAGGCTACAAACAAATAAATTAATTTTACAGGGATATAAAAAATGTAGAGTTAATATTACAGGGTGTTAATTAATAATGTCGTTTAAAGTCATCAGTTCGCTCATTCTGTTTTGTTTTAAATCGATTTCTTTGCAAATGCAACCCCCTTCAAATGTCGATAAACTATTTTCAATATTTACTCTTAGGATATCAAATCTATGATTTTAAGAATTTAAGAAATCCATTTACCAAAAACGTTCAGGGAAAGATTGATTGGTCACTAGGATAGGAGAAACTGACTTCTTCATGTCACCTCCTTTGGTGTTTCCAATAGAAAAGTAGAGAGGAATTATGAAATTCTCTACATAGGAAAAATTTGATTAGCCCTGATCGTAACAAGGTGAATTAAAAAATGATTGATTGATTGTATATTGCTTAACGTCCCTCTCGAGAATTTTTCGCTCAAATGGAGAAGCCTAATTTAAAAAGGAAGAATTCCAAAAGATATAACAATTGTGCATGGACGAATGAAAGGTTTGCAAGTATAACAGCAAAAACAGCCCTGTATACAGGAACTAAAATAATCAAACGTATACCGTATAGCGGGTTTTCTTGGCGGGTGTAAAATTTGGCGTTTTGTCTGCTCAAAGGTATGCCGATAATTTTGGCGTAATTTATTTTGATGACACAAGGTTTCAGCTCTTTGCAGATGGACACTAAGAAGAGTACTGACTATTTTAGCGATTAAAATTTTAGTGGACTATCACAAAACGCCAAAATAAGCCAAAATTAGCACCCCGCTAAAATAACCCGCTATACGGTATTTTATTTGTATACATTTATTAATTCATTGCATCAAATGAAGAAAAAGGATTTTCAATAAATGCTCTTGCCCAAAAATCCCTTAGAAAAGAGGAACAAAAGACTCTCTGAACGTCTAAATTGCATTACTGGTCAATGAAACAATTGAAAATGCCAACGTTCCTCTCTTCAAAATGAAATGTATCTCTCGCATCTACAGTTAAAGCTAAGAATGTCATACTTTTATCTCCCGTTATTACACCCTATCGTATTGTGTAATGATATCAGAGTGAATTATTGAGGATTAATGGAATGATCTTGCCCAGAATCGCGTAATGCAGGGAATGGGGTCGTTACTTTCTTGATCTATCATCTTTGATGATCACATTATAAGAAATACGTAAGAAAATGGTAAATTTATCATACATTGATGTTTTATCTTATGTGTACCTATTATACTCTTAAATTATTTCCACTTTTTGCAATTGAAAATATATCACAGCTTGCTGAAAGCACAGTTGCAGATATTTTAGATGTTCATAGGGTTGAAGAGTAAGGACCCATTATCTTGTCAACAACAAATATTATATTACCATTGGTTTATCATGCCGAATCCCATTTATGGACATCGACCCAATGCTTATTAACTTAGCAATGAAGAGTGTTTCAGCTTTCACGGCGACCTTCCCCATCTCCTCGGTAATGTTTTAACGCTAAACGAGTTGCGCGATGTGTTCTTTTCGTGTGACATTTTTCCAATTATACAAGAGCCCGACGTTAACATCTGTGAATTTGATGACTAATAAGTCCCAGAGCTGTCAAGATAGGAAAATAATAGAGCCGAGGAGCTTCGTTTATCTCCTGTATATTGTTCTGACGATATGTTAGCAATAAAAAACTAAAACACATAAATGGAGACAAACAGTGAAGCATATAGCAAGTTTACTTAGAAATATGCGTACGTATGTTTCGCTGATGTCAATTCTTCAAAATTAACCAGAAGATAACAATGTTTATTTCTAGGAACAATGTTTACTAAAGAAATGAGTATCATCTTTAAACAATCTTCTGAATATAAGTATCTAAATCATGACCAAGTGGTAACCTATTTTCTCTCAAAATCTTTACTAAAAAGTAAGACATCATTGATGATGAACTTCTGTTAAATAAAGATACGGATTGCAACGTTATCAAATCCAAAAAATGCCAGAGGTGAGGGCATTGTAGACGACCATAGATACCAAACCGTATCTACATTCCAATCTTTACATTCGCAGTGTTTTTCTGCAAAGCTAACTGTGAAATTGACTTGAAAACCATTTTCGTGTATACTCACGCGTAGAAATATACACGGAAAAACGTGTGTTAACGTGACGTCACAATAAGTCTATAGCAACGTTAGTAAATGATAGCGCACTTCATGAAATATGCCTACGTGACAAGTCTGTGTGATTCACACACTAATAACACACAAAACTTTAAAAAAAATCTTAAATATATACATGTTTTTGAAATTATACCTTATTACTCTTACTGACATTATTTTTGTGACTGACTTGTAAAAGTGATTATTTTGTGAACTGTGAATAACTTGAATCCGTTATACACGACAACCATTCACGACGTCAACGTAAAATATGAATATAATTGTGGGATGAACTATATTTATATAATGAAAAGAATGATATACGAATACGAAGAGTTTTATAAAAGTTTTTAGACCTTTGTATGAGATATGCGTTTGTCATCTTTGCAATTTGATTGAGAGTATCCAGTTTACGCCCTTAAAAAGAAAAAAAACAGGATGCAAAGATACTAGTAGATGAAAAACCTCGTAGCTTGTTCAAACAGTAAATCTATATTTTATTGTTTAAAAAATTAAGAGGGACAATCATCCTGTTTTTCGTTTTAAAGGCCTAAACTTTATACTCCCAATTAAACTTTTTTAAAAATGCAAAGATGACAAACGCTAAGTCTACCCAAAGGCCTAGTTTAAGTAATTTCGGGTAACAAAAAATGCTAAAAGAGCAAACATCAAACATGGGATCAGGTGCCATGAAGCTCCCCTGTCGATATGTCACGCCATCCAGGAGCCCCTTTCATGATAGGGTAAACGAAGTAATAAGCTAAACTCAAGCATCTGCACAATTTTTCTTCTATCAAGAAATTGAGCCTGAAAACCCAAATGGGTGTTCGACAATTGATTCAACGGACAGATAACCTGTTGAGACTGTGGATGAAGTGGGTAAAACTACAGCACAGCATCCAGGTGCCAGCCAACGATGTAATGCATTCGGATAAAAGACATAGATCACCATTTTTTTGAGAAAGGTTGAGACATCTGGCTGGAAAGTTAAGGACACCAAAGAAAGATTGAGACTTGTTTTGAATGAATAGATGAATTCATGTATACGAGAAATACTAAAAATAATGAGAAGGTTAACAAGAAAACGATCGACAAAGGGTTATAGCAAGTTTAAAAGTCAATAAATCTTATCTCATTTGTTGACTATTAGGCAGCAAAAGGTCAGGAATTTTCACAGCTAGAAAAAAGGAAGTTGAACAATATCTAAAGAATATTCATAAAGTCAAAGGAGAAACATCAAAGATTTAGACCGTACGAGACCCTAAATCAACCAAACAAATCAGAACAATTGTTCGATCAATCAGAATCAAAGTTGCAAGTCGTAAGAGAAGGTAACAGGAGGGCTACAGCAGCAGCATTACCGAGATCAAATTAACGAAATCCCGTAAAAGGTTACAAAAAGGTTATCACAGGGTGTATGGAAACATCTAAGAGCTGTTTGGAGAAGGTAATAAGATTATCTCATAATTGAA